ATATCAAGTAATTTATCTTCACCAATCTCACAATATTTAGGTGGTTTTTAGAACAAGAATTAGTAATTACATATAAAAGCACAGATATTTTTTTTCTGTTTAAAACTAGAATATCTAATATTCAGTTACAAACCAGAAGAGTGATTACTTTCTTTAGAGTAGGAAGTAACCAAACCTGTTTGCTTAGTTACTAGCACAGAGGGAACAGAGGACTGGTTTCTTTTAAAAACTGAATGCAATGTTCTCATCTAGCAAGTATTTCTGCAGTCTGGAGCATCCAGACTGAGTTGAACCTGCTGATTGATAACTCTCCTTAGCTGCTCTGCAGCTAATCATCTTGGTGGACAGAGAGAATCTTGGTTCAGAGGGAATGGGTGTTGGCTTTGTGTAAGGCAGCAACTGAATAAAAAGGTAAGCTCATGTTGTTGAGTCCTGCGCGATTGGTAGATCCAGCATTCTGCACAGTTCAAAGAGGGGAATAGCTAGCTTACAGAACAAGGTTTTTGCAAACAACATGATCCATTTTCCATATCAAAGTTAGGACTTTTCTAAAGCTAAAAGCCAATCTGCATACATTTCAGAGAGCAGGAACTAGGGGAATGCTGGAACAGATGAGTCTCATTACTTGGAACCTTGATTTACAGCCTGTCCCTTTCAGATCACTGGTTTATATGCCTGATGGGAGTACGAACCTTTAATCTCTGATGGGTGTATCTTGCTTTGTCAGGTGTGTGGGTATGTTCACATGCCTGACAGTGAAGTTAATCAGCATGCATAACCAGAAACATTTGAACACACTGCTTTGCTGTGAATTGTTAGTAAAAGCAGCAGAAGAGGCAGGTATGATAAATAAGGTGCTTCTCTGACAGGGCAAGTGCTTATTTCTGCAAAGTGGGAAATGGCTATGAAGCCTGCAGTAAGGAAAGAAATATGCCTCTATCACCTGCATCCTACTTGCTGTAGTTCAAAATAATGAAGAGGTGCTTTGTGCAAATATCTCCCTTCAAGGTAGCATTCTGCTACAGGAGCAAAGCAAAAGTTTTGGCACCTGTGTTTTTCCTCTAGTCAGTCACTTCAAGGAGAAATTTGCTGGCCCACAAGCTGGGCAACTCTCTTAAGTAGCCCTTCTCTAGACTAGACTGACTGATTGCACTTTAATTGGGACTACAGAGGGGGTAAGTTCCTATTTAGCACACTATGCACTTGCTCTGCTGCAACAACTGCAGAGGGGATATCTCACTAGAAGGACCAGAAAGCCTGCCTATAATCCCAGTACTTGTAAAACCCATGTACCGCTAAGCAAGCTGGCACATTTACATGATGGGGATGATACGGAGGTCCTGTGCTCTAGGTAATTACAGCAGCTTAATATAGTTGGGTGCAGCTAAGAGCAGCCACCAGTTTATTTGGCTGAGGTTGGGGATACAATGGTAGTGGCTAGAACAATGGGATTCTCTGGTTCCTGTTGTGAGGCAGGCAGCTTCAGTAAATCAATTTCTTTTACATGGAGAATTTGGACAAACCAGAAAAGAAAAGAACCGGAAAGCACTGGCGGAGGAAGAGGAGTGCAGGGGGAGCGCACCGCCCTTGGCAGCGCAATCTCGGTGGGGTGCCATCGTGACTCTGCCCCCACCCCACGCTTAGTGCCATGCTCCCGGGATGTGCGCCAGCCCCGCCCCCGCCTGCTCTCCACCCCCACCTCCCTGGTGCCGAAGCATAAAGCACCACTGCCTGAAAGCCTCAAATCTCAGTCTTACTGGACTACCAACTATTATTATTAATTAATTAAATTCCTATGCCACCCTTTATGAGCACCTTTATATGACAACGAGGGTTAAAACATTTACATGAAGTATCTATTGGTAAGGAGAAAGGTTTCAAGGAGCTGAGGGACTACAAGGATGGTCCTGAGAGTTTCCTTCTCAACCACTTGCTTTGGTGCACATCCCTAACTTAAAGGCCCACAGATCTTTCCTTTTTCTACCCTAGTTAGAGGTGTTTTATAGGAAACAGAGTGCAGTATCAACCACTATGATTTGGATTCCTGGAGTGGGTGATGCTAGTGCCTGAACAAGGCTATGCTGAAAGCCAGCAATGAGCAAATGGTTTTCATACAAGCAAAATGTTTGTTGAATCCCACCTTCCAGACCCGGGTAGGGCAACACACAAAGATAACGAACAGCGGCTACACCTTTCCTGGACAGTGTTCATGCCTTGCTACAAGCAGCTGTAATGGGCAAGGACAAACCCACTGTTGTAAGCTCTGAGCCTAGGAACTCTTCCAACTACGGCTTGTAAGGAGAGGAAGAAGCTAGCGTTTACAGTGCCAATTGGAGATAGTTCTGCAGTGATATCTACTTTCCCAAGTATTTCAGCTTGCTTTCCTAGTGTAATCAAGTAGGTTGCATCCACATGATTACCATCCAAATTTTGTAGCCTAATTATGCTGCAATGGTGGCTGATGGTGAGCTGTTAGCGTGGATATAGGCTTAGATAAAAGCATACTCTGTACCACAGTTCCATTGGTTGTAGTAGCTCCTACACTGAATCCCACCTGACTGCAGTGTATCAAGCAAGCTTTGGCCTCCAAGCGCTCACAAGAGGACTGACTAACCCTATCCTATGCATTGTGACAGCCGTAATAAAACCATAAGTGGAATCAATGTATCCAGACCCCGTTACTTGGTTAATGGAAGGTCTGCCCCACCCCCACACCGCCCTCCACACCTGCAAAAGCTAAGTATTTGTCTGCCACTGTTGATCGCACTGAAAAGCTAGCCTTGCATAATGGTCAGATGCTTAACACAGACAGGTGAGTTAGCTATGTCTGGCAGAAGGCGGTACTGTTTATGCCACCATTTTGCATGCCGAGAAGCCCAGCACTGAAGAGTTTTATAATTAGTGCAACTAATTATCTGGCGTGGCTGAAATGCGACACCATTTTGTCACAGCTGTATCAGGAGTCCAGTGCAAAGGACACTGACTCGAAGATCCTACTAGTATTGCATCCCATTCCTACTCAAGCAGGGATGGGAGAACCTTTGGCTCTCCAGATGCTGCTGAACTTCCATCAGCCCCAGATAGCAATAGCCAGAGGTCAGAGATGATGGGGGTTCAGAGTCCAACATCTCAAAGGCCACATTCCCCATCCCTGATTTAAAGGGATCACTTAGCCTGACTTTGGGTTAACAAGGACTTCCTGACTTGTCACAACGGATAATCAAATCTGCCCAGAGAGACAAATTTCTGGCCAGTCACCAGCAGCACCACCAATCAGCTTAAAACTGCATACAATAAAGTTAATCAGGAACAGTATAGCATCTGAGAACACAGCTGCTTCATGCCTTCTCTGCACCCAAATGTAGCAGCAGGAGTACAGAAGTGGTAGAATCCTATGAGTTTTGCAGCGAGAGTTCAATTGCATGTTATGAAAGAATTATCTGTAAATTCAGACATGCTTATTGAGAATGAAAAGGGGGGGGTAGGGCAGAAATCAAGCTAAGCAATGGGTTGGATGGAAGGAGTTGCTCAGAGCAATAAGCCGTGGACAACTTCTAAGCAGCTGGAAAAACGAGAATTAGTTATATTAAAAACCAGAAATTGTCAGGCATAGAGCCAGGGCCACCCACTGTAGACCGTAATACTGCAGCGTTGCAGCTCCTCTTCTAATGAGACCCTGCCTGCTGCAAGAAGTCTGCAAGCAGTTAAGGTCTGACTGGGCTACAAAGAGAGTACAGCATGTGGTGCATGCCCACACATGCATGTGGTCATTAGGAACATGTCCGTGGCAAATGGGAGCTTGGATACCATTGTGACAGTACAGGTACATGCTGCCCTCTTCAAAGTACAGTGGTGCCTCGCAAGACGAAAATAATCCGTTCCGCAAGTCTCTTCGTCTAGCGGTTTTTTTCGTCTTCCGAAGCAACCCTATTAGCGGCTTAGCGGATTAGCGCTATTAGCGGTTTAGCGGCTATTAAAGGCTTAGCGGCTAAAAGGCTATTAGCGGCTTAGCGGCTTAGAAAGGGGGGGAGCGAAAGAAAATCGCAAGACTTGCAAGACGTTTTCGTCTTGCGAAGCAGCTCAAAAACGGAAAACCCTTTCGTCTAGCGGGTTTTCCGTCTTGCGAGGCATTCGTCTTGCGGGGCACCACTGTATCATCTCACATATCCATTAGCTTGAGGCAGTCCAAAGTCCAGTAGCACACACCACACTTGAGAAAACCTATTGTTGCATTTAGCCACTGTCATAGAACACAGGAAAGAGTAACCCAGGATCTATGTTGAAGCTATGGGATGAATACAGCACAGCACCTCACCCCAAAACAGGCACAATTCTTGTTGCTGGGAGTTCTAAACCCAAGCACTGACCACTCCTCAAGTTCCTTGATGCTCAAACCATGAGCCCAAAAGCCTCCAGAAGTACAAAACTAAGGCAGATGCCCAGGAACAACAAAAACTCCCAGGCAGACACAGGAAAAGTTCCCCATCATCTAGTGACATTCAGCCCGATCTGAGGAAGCAGCTGGAGTGCCACTTCCCAGGCAGCCATCTCTGTGACTCATCTGGCAACCCATATAAAGAAACTTAGGCTTGCTAGATACTGTGCATGGCCTAGTCCTTGCCAAAAGACAGTAATGGCTAGACCCCAGGTGAACCTACCCCAGTTTAATAACTGAATAGCACTCGCTGCTCTGGGAGCGGAGACCGTGGGGGCTGGGACTTGTGCCTGGGCAAGCACCCCCTCCAACTGACAGTGGAAAGCAGCCATGGATGAGGGGCATGGGGCAGAAGGACTAAGCCAACTTCCAGGGAACCCAGGTTATCAGAGCAGCAGCTGGAATGAGGCAGAAACCAGCCCAAGTCGCCCAAACCAGCCCCTTCGGTGCTGCTAGGGGCTGGGAAGGCTGCTGGGGTGAGTGCTCCTAACTGGGGGCTTGCTTGGGCTACACTGGGCTACAGGTGAGACGGAGAGGTGTGAAATGAAAGCGCGTTGCATACCACTTGGAGATAGGGAACAGCTCATCTTTATCGCAGGGCAGCGCAACGCAGCGCAAGGTGCATCCTGGCCTCCTGCCGGCCACTTGGTAGTCAGTCCCTCCTGCGCTGCTTTTTAACTGGAGGGCAGCGCTTGTACAAAGATGCCCCGGGAGTCTGTCCGTGCCAGCTTCGAAGGTGGCTCCATAGACTCTGCTGTTAAGCTGCTGGACTCGTTGGAGCTGAGAGATAATTCTTGGGGCATTTCTTCATCACTCTCGTCTTCCTCTTCCTCTTCCTCATCTGATTTAGAAAGAGAGATGGTTACAGCAATCCTGAGACTTGCAGCCTGATTGAAAGAACCTGAGGACTGAAATAATGCAAGAACCAGCCTATTTTGTCCCCTCAATTTTCGGAGATGTCTTTTCCAAACCACAGCCTGGGTACCCCCTCAAGTCCAGCTGACAAAGAACAGCAGGGAACTAGACAGTCATCAGCTATCAACTTGGAAGCCTAAGTAAAATCCAGCTATTAGCCATGACATCTAAATAGAGCCTCCATGCTCAGAGGTGAAATATTAATATAAATATCACCTACCAACAGTTAAGGCCCATCACCTACTTGCCTTTTATAAGAGTTTCTGAGAGGCACCTGGAAGGCTCCATTCAAGATATAATGCTGGATTAGACCTTCAGTCTTATCCAGCGAATGTAAAAGGTCTTAAATACTTATATTAAAGTGCTTGTTGCTACCACTGACTCCTTCCTTTGCCCAAGTCTTCTTCCTCAGGCCAGAGAACTTGGGGACAGGGGAGAGTATTGTACTGCCTGTGGGAAGACTGCAAACGGGAGTTTAGCACAGCAACACACTCTCTACCAGTGATTCCCAGCAGCTGGTATTTTGCTAGCAACTGGCATTAAATGAACAGGTGATGATGTAAATACACCATCCACAGCTCCAGGGACAGCTTGTAACACAACCAGTCCCTTCCCGACTGAGCATCCCCTTCCTTCCTTCCTTTCTCCCTCTCTCTCTTACACGTTTTGTTTGTTTGAGGATCACCTTCCCTCTGATCTAATCTGTCGAGCACATGCTGCTGAGGCCAGCACCAAAAGTGGATGAAGCCGCATCTTCTGCCACCCACTTTTCTCCTTTTGCCTCTTCTTCCTCACCTAGAAGAATGTTCTTGCCAGGTCTGAACCGAGGACTTACAGAGGGCGTTTTTTAAAAAAATAGGTCGAGGGCTGCATGTCCCTGCTTCATATCTACGAATTCTTCACTTCTAACCACACACAGGGGATTGCTATCATTCCCATCTTACAGGTAGGGGAAAATTTGAAGTACAGAGAATGAAATGGGACCAAGGTCATTTTGAATTCATAGCTTCACTGAGCTTGAAGCCAGCTAATGAGCCCTTGATTTCATTCTGTGTTCTGGTCTTGCATCTAGGAGAGCAGAAAGACCTGTCCAGTACTGTAAGATTCTCCAGAAAAAGAGGGCAGCCACAAGCAAACCAAAGGACAATGCAGTAATCAAACTTGTCTCTTTCTCTCTCTATGTAATTTGTTTTAAACTTTTTAATCTTGTTTTTTAAATGGGTCTGAGCCCCCGCCCCCATGAAGGGTGGTTAATAAATCCAAAGTAATAATGATGTATGGTTTAGAAAGCCGACATGATTCAGAGCTGAAAAATCTGGGCTCCAATACTGGCTTAGTTCTTGAATTCAGTGAATAGCCTCCGGTAACCTCCCTCCTTCTGTTTCTCTTTCATACTAGACAAATGGGAAGAGCACTACCGCCTCACACATTGTAAGTGGGAGGGAGAGTAATGGCCCCAAAGTCTCTAACATCTACCACTGACAAAGCCTAAGCATCTGGCCTCCCGAGGGGCTGGGCGATACCTTTATCCGGATCCAAGGGGTTCAAGGAGCTCGTCAGGTTTGCAAACTTAAAAAGAAACAAAGAAAACATACATAAGGATCTTCCCACATTATAGACTACTCTGCCTGTAGCCTAATGCTACCTCACACAGCCCTTCTGTGCTGGTGGGCCCTGCTCTTTTTCTCAGGCACAGATCTGGGATAGGGGCAGAAACAGTCCAGAGACCCACCCCCCTCTCCAGAACATGGCAATGAACTCTCCGTGGCTTAAAAATTGGAGGTGGTGGTGGGGCACTACTTCTTGTTTGCGTTTCGCCAATTTCTTGACCTCCACACAAGCATCTACCGGCTAATGGAACATGGATGGCAAGTCTTGGATTAGGCATGGCTCCACACTCACTGGTAAGCACTGGGCAAGCGAAAGTGTATCATGCTAGTGTGCGGAACTTTTAAGACCACAGTCTTAAACTAAACACGTTGGGCTCTGCATACAAACAGAGGCACAGATTCAACATTTCTGTAGCTCAGCACTAGAGCACATACAAAAGGTCCAAGATTTAATCCCTGACCTGCCCAGTTAGCAGAATCTTAAGATTGGGTTGGAAGAGGAGACTAGAGATTCATAAAAATTACAACCAGAGAGGCATTATCGACCAAGATGGATCGATGATTTGACAAATAAATACAAGGCAGCTTCGTATGTGAAAAAGCTCCCTGGTGTCAACAGGGGGGAAGATTCTTGATTCTGACATCCCAGCCAAGGGCATGTCAATCAGAATGGTTCTAGCTCTTTAAGCAAGGTTTTCCAACCTCAAGCCCAAAGCCCATAAAACCTACCTCTCCCATGACAGCAATGGGAGTCTCTCCCTTGGCCTGGGCCACACGGTGCTCTATCAGGTAGTACATGTACTCGTCATAGAGGAGGCGGATGAGATGGAAGGAGCCAAAACTGGCTGCGCTCCGCAGGGTCAGATCCCGAATCACCATAGAGCTGGAGAAAGAAGGAACCCAATGCTGCAGTTACCATGCAGGCAGCAGGGAAGGACTTTGCAGTGCCCTGTGTGAGGCCAACCCCCCCCCATCTTCCATTCTGTGTGTGCACTACGCCATAGTTGCAACACACTGAGCACCCCCCCCCCTCCTTGGCTTGGCACCCAGTGCAGGAGAACCAGTTCCAGGGCCCTAAATCTGCATCTGCAGGCAGCATCACAAGGCACGTAAACCACCCTGTTTCACAGGCATGGCTAAACAGCAGGGGGAAAGACTATGGCTGAGCTGGGTGTGAGCCCAGAACCAAGCCCAACACTCTGCTTCTCACCTTCTACTTACCTGTAGAAGGACCACTTGAGGAGGAAGAGTTTGGCGGCTTTGGGGAAGCTGGGGCTGCCATGGTAGGGCTTGAGGACCTGGCTGACCACGCCATCCAGCCACACGGCCCACTGTTCCAGAGAGTTCTGCTGCTGCAGAGTCATCTTAAAGTCCTGCTCAAGGCGCTCCACCACACGATTCTCGCACCGACATACCCATGAGGCCTGCTCCTGCGGAGCAGCAAGAGGAGGAAGAAAGGTGTCTCCAGTGGGGTTTCTCTTCTCCCATTGGGTAAGCCAATGACCCACTCTGAAGCTACTTAAATGAACTGTAGAATCAAAGTGGCCAGGGAAATCGGGTACCGTGGAGTCTCAAATGCCAACAAAATGCAGTCAATGGCTATGAAGGCAAATCCCTCGTAATGGATGGGATGAAAAGGAGATCCAGACGGCCCACAGAGTCCAGACTGCCCAAAGAATCTGCCATTGGAGGGGGAGGAGGAGCAGTTTGCAGCAAGGGAGCTGGCTTGCTTGTGCCCACCTAAAATCATCAGAGTTTTACCCAGATAATTTCACTGTCCTGCTAAGTCATCACTGGGCACCCAACTAAAAAGATACATTCATTGCTAGAATAAATCAGCATACTTTTCCACAAGTAATAATTATCTTCTGGAACTCACAATCACAGGATGTGGTGGTCACTAGTTTACGGCCAAGTTGCAGTAATGCCTAGTTCAGGGAATTGTTGGACTCCAATTCCCATCAGTGCCAGCTAGCACGACCAATGGTCAGGGATGCTGGGCATTGTAGTTTAGCAGCATCTGAAGCACAAGTACCCCTATTCCTACTCCAGTTATATGAATACAAATGTGCTGTTAAGTGGGGGGCAGGGGAGAGACGGGGGAGAGAATCTGAAGGAAAGAAAAGGATGAAGCAGCCCCCTCCACTGCTTCTCATCACACACTGCTTCCAAATCTGCTTTTTCTGGGAGCACAAGAAAAAGGGGCGCCAGCACTGCGTTCATGCGTATGTGCAACATCTAGAAGGCTTTTAAACATATTCAATAAGAACAGGTCCATCAACAGCCATTAGCCATCAAACAGAAATCAACTATCCTCCAAGGACCAAATTCTGGGAACAATCCATAGGAAGGGTCCTTCTTTTTGTGTCCTACCTGTGAGCTCCCAGTGCACATGTGCCACTATGAGAAAGTCCTATGTTGAATCAGATGGGCCTAGCAAATAAGCTGTAAGGCCTGTGTCTGACACAACTCTTATTTTGACCACTCCAAATGCCAAATAAGGCCTTGGGGTTAAATGAGACCAGTCAATAGGAAGATCATTTGCAGCTCCTGGATTCAAAATGGGAGAGGAAGGAAACAGTGGCAGAAGTGTGGAGGTTGTTACCTGGACATTAGTAAAATCCACCCTGTTGAGATCACTCAGCATCTGATTGATTTGGGCAGTGTTCTGTAAAACAGCCCGGGCAGCCTGGGCAAGGTGGTTGAGGGAGGTGTAACGCCGCAGCGTCTGGGCAAAGGCACTTGCTGCTGCAACCTGAGAGACAAAACACAGTAACACATGTTTCCCATCTGCCCCAAACTGAGGAGCGAGGAGTTGTTCTGCTGCCACCCCCACTAGGAAGCGGGGTGGGGGAGGAGTGGCTCCAACTGCTGAAAAGAGCCAACTGTGGCATCAAGTTCTGGTTACTGGTGCAGAGGCAGAAAACCTCACCCAATGTGACTTGGTAGTTGTATACTGATCTGCTGCAGCACAGACTGAAGGCACCAGAGAGCACCGCCTTAAGACCTCCTAGTCTCAGAAAACTAGGAAGCCAAGACCAACGGCACCCCACAACTTCCCACATCCGGCTCACCTTAACGCGGACCATCTCTTCTGGAATATTCATCATGGCATTCGTCAGCCAGCTCTCCAAACTTTTTGCAAAATTTCGGATTGCTTGCGTCAAGGCACCTGGGGAAGGATGTAACATTAGCATGGCCAGTTTCAAGATGGTTGACAGTCCTTTGTTCATGGGGGTAGTAGAGAATAAGTCCAAGGGCCACATGGCACTCAGGGGGTGGCTTAAATGCCTCCACCTCAGGCCAAAGAGGCTTCCTACCCAAACCTGAACATGAGGCCGATCACCCAGCCCACTATGGAACATGGCAGGAGCACCTGCAGAGCCCCACCAGCAGCTGAAGCATCCGCATTTCAGCATTGGTATTGGCTGTGGCCCTAGGCTTGGGACAGCCTGTTGCAGGCCTCAGATATGAGCTGGGCAGGATGAGCTTACTCGGAATGGGCCGGAGCACTTCTGGAATCAGGACCTCTACCAGCCCCTGGTACAGCAAGTTGTCACAGTCCTTCGTCCATTTGAGGACAGGCTCGTACTTGGACAGTGTCACCAAGCAGCTCTTTGGGAGACGCTTCTCTGCTTCGTCTTGACTAAATATGAAACAGAGACACCTGGTTAAAGAGCAGCATCACCAAGCCACAACTCAGATTATCAAGACCCATCAGCTATGCCAGCAGCCCTTGCCTAGGAACAGCAAATAGATTTTGGATACTAGATGTTTAAGGGCCTGCGGGGCAAAGGTGGAGATAAGATGCTAGGCAGTTATGATGGTAAAACAACTTATTTTGGTTCCCCTGAAAAGGTTCATATTTCCTCTGTTATAAGAAGTTCATTAACAAGTTGTTATTCTTCCCCCTATCAGTTTCATTTTCCGCCTGTCCCATTTACAACCCCTACATTTAGCCTTTATATCCTGATGTGGCCATGCCAGCCCAAGTCCTCTGTCAGCCTGAATCAACAGGGCAGTGAACTGCTCCATTCATTTTGATACAGAAGCAGATTCTGTATTAAAGGAGCCTACAGACTATACCCAAGAGATGCTGGGGGAAATAATCTGGGTATTGGTGGCAGAGGAAGATGCAGGGAACTTGGGGAGATGCTGATACAGGTATGGAATGTCAATTCAGCAAAGTCTGGGAATGCCTAGATTAAATCAAAACTGGTGGAGTTCTTTTTACTGTTGTTCTACTCCCATAGGCATATATACCTAACTCTCCACTGAGTGCTGGGCTGACCATAAGCTGCAAGCCCTTGCTGCCTAGTGGCATCTGTGCCGCAGGCTGGCTACCCATGGGAAGTGTGATATCCTTCTTAAAGGGATGAGCAGAGACATTACAGCACTGAAGTGCTATACAGCAGGGGAAGTGATTTTGTTGCTCAAACAGTTGAGAAATGCACCCAGACCTGGATCATGGAGCTGCCAGGAATGGGAGACGGTAGAGTGAACCTGTCCTTAGTGCTCAACAGTCTGATGCACTTCTTAGCAAAAGGCCAACCCCATGTACTTTCCAGCAGAAGTCACTTGCAGATGTCCAGAAATGACAGCCTCTGCGTCATAAATTTGCAAAGCACCCCACAGCATGTAGTTCATTTTTATATAAATGCCCAAAAAACAAAGACTCACATATCGATGGGGGTGGCTTCACTGGGCTGGTTCAAATTGTACCTCCAAAAAGTCTTCCAGAGTGTCTCCACCAGTGTGAATTGCAAGTTTACCATCACATCAACAATGGCCTGAGGAGGAGAAGTAGTTGGATGATTTCATTCTAGACCTGCCAGGCAGGAACAGAGGCAGCAGGATCCTCCCTGCTAAATTAATTTGTTCCTATCAAGAAGATGATAGGCTGCCTTTAAAGAGTCAACCCAGTTGTCCAGCACATTCTGTCATTTCTGAATTCAAAGTCAATACTCTGCTAATACTCAAGCAGAATATTTCAGAGAGCAGATGGAGCATAAAGGCTGCTCAACTGGAATTCACGGACAGACTCAATACAAACTATTTCATATTGAAGCAAAACTCTAATTATTCCATCTGTGCCATGCAAACTGAGTACCTGCCTGCAAGGTGTGCTGCCTGACTTGCTTCCCCCCAGTGACTGAATCACATTAATTTCAGTTGTTCACTCATGTATGCTAACCCTACTTTGAGCAAGTGTTTCTTCAGTCTCACAACAGATGTCCCCCAATCTGAAATGTGTGTAGGTCCACTCTCAACTTCACACATACAGGCTCGAGCACTAAAAAACTAATGCTACAATAAATTCATTAATCTTTAAGAAATAGATGCAGATGGCAAGATGCTTCTGAATTCCCATGATGCTTCTTGTAGTTAAACATCTGCACAAATGCTGCAGCTAGAACAGACCATTCATAGAACAGACCATTCACCAGCACATAGCTTAGGTGCTTAAAAGCTTCCTCTGAATAAAAATAAACAAACAAATAAAAAGCTTGCAGGGGCTGTCCATTTGCTACCAGGCAAAGTTGAAGACTCTTCTTTTAATTTACAAGGGCTTAACAACTTGGGCTCAGGATACGTTAAGGACTATCTGACTCCTTATGTCCCTGCCCAATCACAGAGGTCTTGAGGTGAGTCACAGTCAGTGGTTCCCCATGACTCAGATGTTCAGCTTGTATACCAGGATCCAAGCATTTAGTATTGTGGGCACAGTGATGTGGAACTTCCTCCCAACTGAGATCAGACAGGCCCCCCTCTGTTGAATTTCTGGTGCTTGGGGCAGATCTTTCTACTTCACTAGGAATCTTACGTAAGTTTTCTGATGTTGTCGTTCATTTTAATCGATTTTATCTTTATTGTTTCTTTCACAATCCTACTGTATAACACTTAGAGAATACAGCGTTAAGCATATACCCATATAAATAGTTGAAATAAAAAAAACTTTAAAAATCAGCTCAAGCTGACTGTTTAAAAAACTAAGATCCTAAAAACAAGGCACACAACTATTTTGTGGAAACTCTCTCAGGGATGAAAACCCCTCCAAGGGTGAGTTAACACAAGCAGCCTGAGCAACAGGTGTATCACCTCCAAAACAAGTTATGAGAATAACAATGCCTGAGATTTTCAGAAGTTTAGGCAACTGAATGGCAAAAAAGTCACCCACAGATTACTGGATCGGGGGCATCACGTAATGAGTTTAGAACAGGCAAAGCTGTGGCAGCAGTATAACTGACCTGCAAGGCAGTCTAGAAATGTTTAATAAAATGAAACAATTAAAGGAAGACAACTCAGAAGAGAAATTCAAAAGGGGTTAAGTTGACCTGGTTCTGCTTCCACTGACATGGCTTTGCCTAGAAGCAGCCAGAGCAATGCCAGGCCTACAAGCAAGCATGTGGGGCTGCAGAGGGCGATCCATTTGATGCACACCTGCCTGGGAGGCACATTAGCCTGCTACTCTCCAACTGCATCCAGTGGACTGTCATTAGGGCTGCAGTCCCTCATGGGCAACCTTCCATGCCACTAGCGGGCAGGTTGAGAGGGAGGAAATGTGGAAGGGGAGTGAGTTCCAAGGCTACACTCCAGTCACACAGAAGCTGTTTGTACAATCCACCTGCTTACCCTGCAAACAGACCCATCACTCCACCCTCTCTGGAGGCAAGCAAGAGGCATTGCCATAGTTCAGGGGTACATTGCATCCAAGCAAGAACATTCAAAGCGGGTATGGAGCAGGGCCAGGCAAGGAACCGGAGGCTCTCCACCCTTGCCTAGATTTCCCTTTCCAATGTGCTCTCCTGATGTACCTCGCAATGCTCTCGATAGAGCGACTGGAAAGACTTCACATCTTCGGCTCCAATGCCCTCAGGGAGGGACTTCCCTTGTAGGTCTATCTCTGCAAAGTCAGGCAGGCTGCGAGAGGCATCTGTGAGGAGGAGAGAGACATCAGCCCTCCAAGCCCAACCCTGGATCCCAAGGAGCTGCCCCACCTTGACATTGTCTGCCGAAGTTTGATCGAAAAGGTGGTGGTTTATCTGGATCAGGATCTATAGCTTCTCAGGGGACTGGGGAGTTGTGTTTCCATGGCCCACTCTATCCTTGGCCACAAGGGCAAGACTGCCAGCACTGACGTGACACAGACCTACTTCAAATGCAACATGGACACAAAATGGTTGTCGCCCCAAAATAATTCCTTGTAGCGAGGACTCCGTGCAGGGGTTGTGGTAATGCATGCCAAGAACTTCCCACATACAGTGACCCTACCATGTGAAAAAATCTCATTCCAGTGCTGCATTTCCTGGGAAATGGAGGTTCTCTGCAATACTTGGCCCTGAGATGGTGTTCCTACCACACAGACACCGTCTAAGGCATGGGTAGGCAAACTAAGGCCCAGGGGCCGGATTTGGCCCAAATGCCTTCTAAATCCAGCCCGCGGACGGTCTGGGAATCAGCGTGTTTTTACATGAATAGAATGTGTCCTTTTATTTAAAATGCATCTCTGGGTTATTTGTGGGGCATAGGAATTTGTTCATTCCCCCCCCCCAAATATAGTCCAGCCCCCCACAAGGTCTGAGGGACAGTGGACCGGCCCCCTGCTGAAAAAGTTTGCTGACCCCTGGGTATCAAACAAGTCACATCAGGCACGGGGCCACAGAATCTCCAACAAAAAAGTCATCTTCTGTGAGCCAGGTGGTCAAACATACAACCCTAACAACTGCATGTAGAGGCTTGTCTTGCATGTCCTCTGCTTCCATCTCAAAGACCTCACTCTGCCATGTGCAAAAGAGTGGCCCTCCTTACCCAGGAATTGCTGGTACTGTTGTACTTGGGCACTGATGTCAGACAGCCCCGAGGCTTGCTGCTGCCCGACAGCCACTCCATTGGTCATGCCTTCCATCTTCTGAATGGGTTTGAGCCTATAAGGCAGAACAACTTGAAGTCAGCCCACAACACATCACAGTAACACCCATAGCATGTGCCTATGTCAAGAGCATAGGATAGAGAGAGAAAGGGGTTGCCTCAGATTCTGTTATGGAAAAATCTTCTTCAGCAGATTCAAAAACATTTCAAGGTCCTGATGCCACTTTTCACACCGGGGAGAACTTCAAGAATGTCTATCTCACCAAAGAAGTTACTCAGTTCCAAGAGGATAATAGCACTACAAGGGTCCCCAGTTTTGGGGACCTGCATACAGCACTCTACTCTTTCATATAATGCTTGTGCTATATGGTCCTTGGTTTGCCTTGCTGATATGTACACTTTGCAACTGTAATAACATTTTGTATCTGCCAGGGTTTCAGTCCTGACTTCCTCCCAGCCCTACCTGAAGGTACCAGAAATTGATGCTCAGACCTTCTGTTTGCTAAGGATGTGCTCTGCTACTAAACTACGGCCCTTCCCCTTCCCCTGAACTATCTCCTACCTTTGCTTCTGAGAAAAGGGCTGTTGCCTCATGGCCAAGTGTTGCTGATCCTCCATGAGCCGCAGCAACGGGGAGTTAGCTTTGATGCGTAGCCCGTAGTAGTGGTATTTGGAGTTTCCTCTGAAAGAAAAGTGAAGTGAGAAAACATGAAGCCTCCATATAAACAAACCCCTTGGACCACAACAAAAGGTACACCACCAGACACAGAGAGATGCTATCAAGGTACCCTTAGGCACATAACAGGCCAAATTCAACTAACCAGTGCCACTAGTGGAAGCCCACGCAAGAACTTCGGCTGGCGCAATGGGACTTTTCTTACCTTTCCTCCCCGTATATCCTATTGCTAGTTACCAGGAGGAAGATGTAAATAATAAAAAACGATTTATTTGGCCATCACTGGCATGGTGCAAATCAGATCAGTGTGAGGCCTCTGCATTAAGAAGCAAGCTCCCTTTTAGGAGACATTGGGTACCTTCCAAGTGCTCTGAGAAAGGGTGGATTTTGTATGTGCCTCTCCCTGCCCTGTACAGCACACCCCATGCTCTGCTCAATCTGAGGTTTGTGAATGGGAAACAAGGTGGGCTTTAGTGCTGACAATAACTGTATTCCTGAAGCTCCCGGGGGATGCTGAGATGCTTGGCAGCTTAGGCACCTCGCATTTTTATTCTGCGATGCTGCCACGCAGCCCACGGGAAAGTCATTTTTCATTTACCTGGTTCCAAGCCGGCGTGTGCGAAGTCCCATAAACACTGAGCGGATGAGCTTGCCAAAGGAAGCTGCATTGACTGGCTCCAGTTTCTGCTCCTGGCAATGCAGGAGGTAATGGCAATACAAGGTACTCCGTGGAAGGCTTACACCTTCCGCAGTCTCGTAGTTATCCAACAGCCACTGGACCTGCAAAGAAACAGGAATCCAAGTTACGGGCCTTCCAAGCCCTTTTGTTTGCAGTTATTGAAGGGAATAGTTCAGGTACTGTCACAATCTCAATGAATGGTTCGTATGGTGCAACCCACGCTTGGGAGGTGGGCACCATCTTAATAAGCCATGTGAGGATCCATTCTCTTCCCACTCCCAGGGTCCCAAAGTTATACAAGAGAAGGCCGTGTTGATGCCAAAGTCAAACATCTAACACTCCTATATTATTAGGTAAAGGGACCTCTGACCATCAGGTCCAGTTGCAGATGACTCTGGGGTTGCGGAGCTCATCTTGCTTTATTGGCCGAGGAAGCCAGCATACAGCTTCCAGGTAATGTGGCCAGCATGACTAAGCCACTTCTGGCAAACCAGAGCAGTGCACAGAAACACTGTTTACCTTCCCGTTGGAGTGGTACCTATTTATCTACTTGCACTTCATGCTTTCGAACTGCTAGGTTGGCAGGAGCAGGGACCAAGAAACGGGAACTCACCCCGTCACAGGGATTCAAACTGCCAACCTTCTGATCGGCAAGCCCTAGGTTCTGTGGTTTAACCCACAGCGCCTTCTTTTAAATAAGAACCACGCATCTTTTTACAGGCCTTAGACTGAAATCCTATGGAAGCAGTATAGAGACCTGCCGTTAGATTCCCCCTTCACGCCCCAACTTTCGCAGCCCTGGCCCTACCAACATTGGTGCTCCAGAGCTGGCAGGGTAGGGGGCCAAAAGGGGTTTGCAGGTCAGGGCTGGTTCGGGGACATGCTGGGAAACGACCAGGGAAAGGCCTGAATTACGCCAAACCCGGGACTGAATTAGGCCAGTCCAAGAGCCGGAGTACCTCAATCCCATTTCTTTTCCTCCCATTGTTTCCAATGAAGAACTAAGGAATTGTTTCCTGTGAGAACTAATGAATTCTAATGGGTCTAAAGACACACAGAAGAGAAAGCTGGCACATTTCAGTTAGATCCACCATGAGGTAAAGAGTGCTTTCGGAAGGCTGGTCTCAGAGAACAAGACCCATGAAGTAGGGAAAGTAGCATTAAGGGCCAGAAAATTTTCAAGGGCCAGAAATTCTAAGCAAGAGCATTCCCTCTTAACAGGAGACAAAAACCACAAATAAGCTCTCTGTGCAAGCTATATTAACTTATGGCAGAGATGGGGAATCTGTGTCCCTCCAGATGTTGATGGACTCAAATTCCCATCACCCTCAGCCAACATGGCCAATGATCAGGATGATGGGAGGTGTAGTCCAGTAACATTTGGAAGGACACAGGTTTCCCCGCCTCTGACTTAGGAAATGAAACACTTCTGTCTATCTACATTGAAGCTGTGCAAGAAGATGGCAAATTGTGCCCTCTGGGTGAAATCTGTCGTGTTCCACTCTGCTGCCTTTAATGACATCCAAACATGCTACTTTCCCTCATGCTGCTGTCTTGGGTGGCATCTTTTATTGAACCAGCTTCTGGTTCATCATTCACTAGAATGATCAAAGCTATCATTTTCCTTTGAGTCTCAAAAGCACTATGAATTACTTCATACTTTCACATGCCTACTGCAATACAAATGTTCAATGCACCTTTAAAAGATATAAAATCATTTCATCAGAAAGAGCCCCAGGCCTACCAAATAATAATAATAATAATAATAATAATAATAATAATAATTCTACCCCATCGCAGCAATGTCCTCTTGGAAGGGCAAAAGAACACTGAACAGAGGAACATGCATAAGTGTTTAATTCTCTAAGTCAGTGGTTTTCAGACTTGCTACCTTCAAAGGACATTTTCCATATCAACTTGTCCACAACAGAACCCCTAGCATTGCAGAGAATGCTGGGACATTTTCTTGAACGCACAGGGTGCTGCTATTGACTGTTAGGGCTCAAGGTTGCTCTGTGTGGACTGAGAGTGCACCCAAAAGGGGCCCAATACTTTCTTGCTGCTGCACCTTGAACAGAATGATCAGCTGTGGGCAGGCAAGCCATCTCAGGGAAGCTTGCCCCAGTCATTATGGGTCTTCTAATTAAAGAACCCTGAGAAGTCTCCAAGGAACCCCAGGTTCCCTGGAACACAGCCATGAAAACCACTGCTCTAAGAGCACTTGGACAAGCTGCTGAAAAAAGCAAAGAGGCTCCCGGAAGCTCCAATCCCCTTGAATGAACAGCAAGGTATCCAGAGCGAGACTCAGACTTACAGTTGCAGGGGAGGCACGAGTGGTGTGCGAGTACGACTGGCTTGAACTTCCCAGCATGTAACCTCCTTGAATCACATAGGTCCCGGTGCTGCTGCTGCCACTGCCTCCTCCACCGCCGCCACCAGTGCTGCCACCACCACCACCATTTCCATTTCCACCTCCTCCTCCTCCAGCACTGCTGCCTCCGCTTGGGTTGGCTATGATTTGCCCTCCAGAGACATACATGGGCACTGACCCACTGCTGGCCACAGTCTGGGAGGTTGCTGGGGTGGAGACCTGGGTTGGGGTGCCTTGCGATTCATAGTAGTTTGCGCCAGTGTTCTGAGTGTAGAGAGGGGTTTCCGTGTAAGGGTAAGTGTTGGAGCGTCTGAAAACAGGAGAAAGAGGTGCTGTTTCCATCTCCGATTTCCAAGTGAAGAAAAACAACCACTTGTTATAGAGAAATGGCAGCTAAACATATACACCACCCTACAGTGGGTAAAAAGGAGAAGGCTGTACATCTCCACTCCTTTACCATGCTTTTTGCTTAGATCAAGATGATTTAGCTCAGGGGTCACAACTGATGGCTCCTTGGCCAAACCCAGCCCCCAAGTGATTTCACTTGGGTTTTTTCCCCCATTAGAAAACAGGGACAATCAACAGCCAATCCACCAATCTTCTTCACGGCAGCACTTCAGAATAACTTCCCTGATTTTCGACAACATTCACTATATAAACTTTCATTTTCTATTTTTTACAAAACAATAATAAACAGTTCATTTTTTAAAAGAAAAATCTAAGTTCATACGCCCATCGTTTCATTTATAATAAAAAGGGGAAATGTCTAAGAGATATTGTCCACACCCTAGTGCTTCATCTGTGTTTGGTATTTGTATGCAATGTTCTAAGTTAAAAGGCAAAGGACCCCTGGATGGTTAAGTCCCGTCAAATTTGACTATGGGGTGCGGCGCTCATCTCACTTCAGGACGGGGGAGCTGGCGTTTGCCCACAGACAGCTTTCTGGGTCATGTGGCCAGCACGACTAAACCGCTTCAAGCACAACGGGACACTGACAAGTGCCAGAGAGCACAGAAATGCCATTTACCTTCCTGCCGCAGTAGTACCTATTTATTTACTCATGCTGGCATGCTTTGGAACTGCTAGCTTGGCAGGAGCTGGGACAGAGCAACGGGAGCTCACCCCGTTGTGCAGACTTGAACTGCCGACCTTCCGATCAGCAAGGCTCAGCACCACCTGCTCCCAGAACGTAATGTTCTTTCTGGCTGCGACTGGGTGCAGATACTCCATAACCATTAACCCCTCATTGCTAGGTGGCACCAATGTTGTGATGGAACCTGGCCATCCAGAAAGACATTTCCAGCCGCTAGATCATTGTCTGGCCATCTATGCACAGGGAAGTTGACCGTCTCTGGCTTAAGATACAGAATAGAATCAATTAGCATCTGTGTGAAGATCTGTGTCTCTAGCAACCTGCACCTGACAGGAGTCCATGCCCGGCTCACTGTGAGCTTGAATGCTGGGGTAGCACTGGTATGATAAAGCCTTCCTTCTTACCAGGCATGTACTCACATGGTACTTGCTGTGTAGCTGGCATCACCTCCTTCCACATACTGCACCTGGTTGGGATAGACATGCTGCACAGGTACCTGCTGGAGCTGCTGCACCTGAGAACGCAGCAAGCCCACAAAGAGAGGAAAGGAAAAGAGGTGAGACAGGATGGGCCAAGGCCGCTGCGCTCTACTCTCTCTAATCCCTCCCAAGAGGATGCTCTAGACAAAAGGCGACCTCTCTGCCTTCCTAATTGCCACACCTACTGTCAATCTGCTTGCAGCTGTCATCACCTGTCTCATGATTTATATTTGCCTCTATATCTGGCATTGATCTAGCAGACATTAAACGTGGGGGTTCGGGGGGCGGGGGCGGGACTCTAGTATGCTTATTCCCATGGACCAAGGATTCCCCCACAAGTCAGAGCCATGGTGAGGAAAGTCAGGAACCCAGGGTCCACATACTCTGATCCTGGCAAAAGCAGCACAATGGTATAACATGGAGAAGGAAGTGCTGGGGGCTCTTGCTAGGCAGGCAAGAGCCCCCAACAGATTCTCTTGCTTTCCCTTCTGGAATGCTAAGGTGCAGAACTGCATGCAATTCCATCACTTCTCAAGGTCACTTTGCACATTTTTGTTAAGAGTGCAGCTAAAATGTTGCAAGTGTACATCTACAAGAGCAAAGTGCAGGTGTGAGAAATATACATTTGCATTATGCAGATGCACTTGTAGGACAGCCATGATTGGCTGCAGTTGCCCTCGAGTGCATGCTCAGTGGCAAACCTGGGTTTGCTCCTGTGTAATGTGTGAAACGGCCCTTTGCAACAATGGTACAATATTGGTTTTATGGAAAAACATGGATTATAGCACACCTTTATAAACAAGAGGCCTTTTACTTGCCATGATGGTTCTAATGTCTTACAATCTGATGAGGTGATTTGAAGAAAACTCAGTTTCCACTCATTAGACAGCAGCTAACTTTGGCTCAGGGAGCTGCCTTTGTTTCAGTAGCTGATACAGTTTTAGGGCAAACAGGCTAAGTAGTCCTCATACAATCAGTACTGCATGATTTAGCTTACCTAGATCAGACCTTGTTCATAAACATAGATGCAGTTATCTGGGATCCTGGCTAGCTATGGCAAGCCTCTGTTCTGGCTCCCAAATACTGAAAGTCCTGCACAAAACGTAGCATGCTTATCTGGTGGCATATGTCTCCCACAAACCCCAATCCCTCAAGACTTCCATATCTACACCTGATTCAAGCAAATGAAATCAAAATCACATCCAGTGCTGAAGAGGTCCAAGAATTTCAATTTCTCTGGCAGTACGTGGGGAAGGAAAGAGGGTTGCTCTACCACCGCTAATTAAGAGGAGAGTCACAATCGTAGAGAAGGGGATAATGCTGGCAAGCTCTGCTACCTGGCTCTGTGGGAAGGAAAATGCACAGAGCTTGCTATTCTTGGATCTCAATCGGTGCCCTCTGCAGGACCTACTTTAAGTGCTGTAGCTGCTGTTCCAAACACTAGCACCTGAGGGACTCTCTGAATCTTGACTCTCTGGTCAGGGCTGGAGTGATGAGAGGAGAGGAATGGCAGCTGCTCTATCACCACCTTCTGTTGTGGCAGGAGGAGCGGTTGAGGAAGCATGCGGACCAGCTCCACCCACTGCTCCGAGGCAGAATCTAGAGAATGCATGTAGTGGAGCCTGTGCTCTGGGCCAGATAAACAGCAGCTGGCCAGCTGGGGTGCACTGTTGCTGCTGCTGCTGCTGCTGCACTCTAGGGAGAGACCTTGCTGCACTCCTTGTTGCTCTTGCTGCTGCGACTGCTGATTGCTCTTAGAAGGGCCACTGTCTGCACTCTAAACAATAAACAGAGAGACTGAAGCAATCAGAGATAGTGGAGAAACCCAGAAATGTCCTGCCAGAATGAAGGATTAAGGCAGAGGGTGGTATTCAGTTAAATAATTGCAGAAGCAGAATGCGTTCCACTTGCGCAAGGGAACTTCCCCTCTCCTTTTCCCAATGCCACTCGCATCCAGGGAACCTCCAGAACAGATTGAGGATGGTGGAAGTTCTGTTGCACAAGGAAAAACTGTTGTGCTGATGGAATTTTCCCCTTAATGCTACTTTGATTACAACCCAGAAGGTCCACACATCCTGCTTCATCTGCATTTTACCCATTGAGCCCAAGGCATTCTATAATGGTGGCTAAGGAGGTTCCTTACAAAACAAGAACTGGCAGGGATGAGAACCTTCCCCATCTTCACTGTCTAGAATTTATGATCATCGTGGGGCTGGGGGAGTTATGGGTGACTACTAACCACTTCTTCAAGAGAAGAAGGGTGTGGGGGAGTTTGGATATATCCAGAAAGCAAGTTCTGGGTGGGAAAGATTTAAACCTCCCACCGATGAGGAATTCAGGACAGAAAGGCTTTAATGCCCTGGCACTTGGGGAGCAGCTAATCTAGGAATATCCTCCATGGCAGATCACAGCTGCTACCAAAGTAGGGCAGCCAGAAAGCAACAGTCAAATCTCTTTCTTACCTCTTGAGTAACATGAACCTGCTGGAGTCCTTGCACTGCCAGCTGCTGCACTGTGCCTGCTTTGGGAGTTGTCTGCACAACAGATCTCTGCAGAAACAAACCAGAATTTATCAGAATGCTTTGGAAGGCAGAGGTGATACAAGGCCTCCTTGCCCCAAGGCTAGCTGTAGCTGAGCTTGCAATACATACTGACAAGGGCATGCCAACAGGAACCTAACCCTAGGAAATGAAACTTGCAAAGTACCGTATTTTTCGTCCCATAGGACGCTCCCATAGGACACACCTAATTTTTGGGGGGGAAATAAAGGGGGGGGGAATCCCTTTATTTCCCCCCCAAAACCAGGTCGGGGAAACCAAACCAGGTCGAGGAACAGCGGGATGGTGGCGCTGCGCCTCCCCGCTGTCCCCCAAGCTTGTGGGGCTGGCCGATGTCTGTCCGGCGCGTGGGGCGCTCTGCTTTAGGGTGTCCTGCGAGCCGGGCGGCAGGCTGCTATCCGCAGAGTTGGGAGCCCTGCGGGAACTCCCGCGGGGCTCCCCACGCTGCGGATGTTTGCCCGGTGCGGGCGCTCTGCTTCAGGGCGCCCCGCACGCCGGGAAGCAGGCTGCTATCCGCAGCCTAGACAGCCCTGCGGGAACTCCCGCAGGGCTGCCTAGGCTGCGGATGTTTTCCTGAAGCCTGGAGAGCAAGAGGGGTCGGTGCGCACCGACCCCTCTCGCTCTCCAAGCTTCAGCGAAAGCCTGCATTCGCCCCATAGGACGCACCCAGATTTCCCCTTCATTTTTGGAGGGGAAAAAGTGTGTCCTATACGATTTTTCTTTTTACAGAAGTCTTCCAAAAATACTATTTTCACAAAAGGCCCTGCAAACATATTACTTCATTTGGGTATTCCAAAGAATCTGAACACAATTAGGAGAAACTCAACAAAGTACTCTTGTCAGCACAAGCATTTCTGTTCCAAGGCTTCTCCTGACCCTCTCCAGGCCAATTTGGGCGGGGTGGGGGTGGGGAAGAGATCCCTTTTGCACTAGGACAGTGATGGCCAAACTTGGCCCTCCAGCTGTTTTGGGACTACAATTCCCATCATCCCTGACCACTGGTCCTGTTAGCTAGGGATGATGGGAGTCCAAAAACAGCTGGAGGGCCAAGTTTGGCCATCACTGCACTAGGAGAGGTCCTTGTGTGGGCTTCCAGAACTGAGACTGCTTAGTTGATTCTGGCCCATTAATTTTATATTAGTCTTATAAATCTGAATTGCACCCAAAACCTCACGTGGAAAGTTTGATTTCTGAAAACTAAGGGTGTCAAAAACCTTGCTCAACATTCAAAATGACAAAAATGTTTCACAAAAAACCCTGTGTGTATATGTGTGTGTGCGTGTGGTGTGTGTGTGTGTGTGTGTGTGTATATATATATATATATATCACATAAACACATCAGTTTGTAGCAATGTGAAGACAGTTGTTTAGAGTTACACAGATCTGGCATTTGGTGTGACACCTCCACAACAAAACGAAGGTAAACTATAGGAAAGTTCACACTACCTTATAATTGAAAGCAATGGCTACATGGAGTGCAATAAAGATATTGAAAATGCTTAGAAACCGTTAACAGATAGAACTTTGAAAATCTAGTGTGAACCCTTGACAAGCTGCAGCTTTTGCTACCCAAAAATCCGATTACATTACCCCGACTGAGAAGAGACCACAAGATATTGGCAAGCAAAGATACAACACCTCTTGTGCTACAGGCACTTGCTGGACTCCGTGAACCTGGAGCTGCTGCACTTGTCCCGGTTTAGCAGCAGAGCTGCTGTTCTGGACAGGGGAGCGCTGAAAGGCAAGGAAGGAGACTTTACTTTTGGGTATGGACAAAGGAGCAAGGCATAACTGCATGATGTACTACTGTCTCAGAATTCATGCTTACTTTCTCTCCTCCTGGAGTCAGGTGGTGTCCCTCCCTCAGTCATGGTGCACTCTACTTCTAAGAAAAACTTCTACATGGTCATTATACTGTTGATGAACATTTTATGGAAGAGAAAGGTTGTCCAGCACTACCAATTTTTATAACAAAAAAGTAGGAGGGGACACCTCACGCACTGCTATATTCTTTGCTTAAATCTGTTGGTTAGCAGAGGGGCACTGAGTTGTGCCCAACATTGGGGGGCCCGTCACGCGCATCACGACATTGTGCAGCTGTCGCAGACCTCCCAAGTGTCTGTGCAGCGTCTCCCAACACTGCGCAAGCAAGGCAACTTTCTGCTAGGCCACACCACTCCGTGCAGTGTCTCTCAAAACTGTACGGCTGGGGTGACCTTCAGGATGGTGGAGGACCATGGACAAAGGGAGGAGGGAGGAAGCAGACAGGCGAGAAAGGGCTCAGCCTCCTTCCTCTGCCCCCTCAGGATGGAGGGGGATGTTCAGCCCCATCGCAACAGATATGGGGGTGGGGCTGAAGACGCCTCAGCTTTATAGAGTTGGTGCCTATGGAGGTCAGAGATCAAATATTCTAAGTCACTTGCATTTCCTTCCAGGTTACATATGGTGCTATCTTCTAACAATGGTCTTCTATGGTTTACTGAATGTAGGTCTCTACAAAAATGACAGAATGAACGTAAACTGGATATTGAAAAATGGCAACACACAGAAACCAGTCCAGTCTCAGTCTCCTAGGACATTAATTGTCTAACCTGTATATTGAAGCAAAGGATGCTTTACGGAAACAACAGAATATAAGACTGCTAAATGATCACAGCCTGGGCACAGTAACACACACAACGCAGAACAGACATGTCTTCTTCTTTGGCGATCACTCGTAGTCGAGTAAGATTGTCTTCCATGAATATGGTCTTAACAGTGTGTCCGTAAGTGACTGTGGAGACCAATTCTAGGGAGCGGGTGGTGCTGTGGTCTAAACCATTGAGCCTCTTGGGCTTGCCGATCGGAAGGTCGGCAGCTTGAGTCTGTGCGACATGGGGTGAGCCCCCACTTTGTCCCAGCTTCTACCTACCTAGCAGTTCAAAAGCATACCAGCGTGAGGAGATACAATAGGTACCGCTGCAGCGGGAAAATAAAAGTGTTTCTGTGCGCTCTGGCACTCGTCATGGCGTCCTGTTGCGCCAGAAGAGGTTTACTCATGCTGGCCACATGACCCAGAAAGCTGTCTGCAGACAAACGCTGGCTCCCTTGGCCTGAAGCAAGATGAGCGCTGTACCACACAGTCAAGTTTGACTGGACTTAACCGTCCAGGGATCCTTTACCGTTACCTAGCAGGCATGTGGTAGGGCTGTAACCCTTCAAGTAATCTGTCAATTTCTTTAGGCCACAGTAACTGAAACTCATCCTACAGCCCTAGAATAGCCTACCCCAACCTCCCCACCCCCAATATCTTAGATTACAACCACCATTGGTCCCAGTTAACACAGATGAAGGGGCTTGTAGTTTGCAACACTGCAGGGCAGCAGGCTGAGGAAGGCTCATCTAAACAAGCTGATCTGTAAGCTTGAGGAGTCCGCATTAAAGCAGATACAATCAACTTAATCCTCAAAGTGGCTAACAAATATGATACAGCAGGTTTCCAAGGGTTCTGATGTCACCCTGTGGGCCAACTTCAAGTAGGCTCCCAAATCACTTGGAAAAGCCCCACAGGATGCAACTGTGACAGAGAAATTTTGTGTTTTCAGTGCCACCACAAAGTGGGCTCACTAATTATCTCTTTTTGATCAGATTTGCACTGAGATTTATGCTGTGCACATCCTAGTAATCTTTCATCTTGCCTCATTGCTCCTACCTCACTGGTAAGCCAGGGAGCAGACTGAGCTCTGTGATGTGTGAGAGGATGCTTAGGGGCAACTGAGGTTGGATAAGAACCCATTGCCAGGTAATGAGAAAATGTTCCCAGGTCTCACAGAATATGATAGTCACAAGGGAGCTTAGGAGGAAACTGGAAATGGGCATCAACTGTGGAGGAACCAGGAAGTAGCTGATGAAGAAAAGAAGTATCGGACAGATCAGGCAGATAAATAAATGAGCAACATCATTCAACACAGTGAAGGCAAAACTAGGCTTTCTTTGACTCATGGCGGATGGAACATCTGAACAGGCTTTCCAAACATCTGGCCACCCACCTCAGGTGAAGAGTGGACCTGCTGCACACCATGGACTGCCAGCGCAACAGCTCCTCCTTTACTAGCCTGTGAAGTACTCTGTACCACCAGCCGCTGAAACAGGATGACATAAAAGAAGCAAGCCCTGGTTAATTACCGTATCTCCAGGAGACTGTTCAGAAGCTACTGACCAGTGGGCCACCAAAGAACTGCTCACCAATCAAACACACACACTTGGTGAATTATAATATGAGCAATTACCTTCCCACCCCACCCTGCACTACTCACTGCCGTTTTCTCACTCAGTTGTCAAGGCAGACATACCAGCTAAGAGAAGGGTTTTTGTTTTTTTTTAAAGAAAGAGATTCAGGAAAGCCTGTTGAGAGGATCAAACAAAACATGGAACCACCTCCTCAAATGGGATGCTCTGCAATCAACCACTTCCGGTTTGCCACCAAGGGGAAAGGAAGCCGGGATCACTATTGCAGTGAACTGGCTGCTGTTTTTGGAGTTTTGGGGTGGCTCGTAGGCAGCGAGAGCCCCAAAGAAGGTCCTGGGGATGACCAGGACGTCAAAGGCTCCCACTGAGACCAAAAGTGAGCTCCCAACAGGTCTGATGATATTATGTGCTTGTAAGCATCTTTAGAGATTGGTTAAAAGCTCTGAAACCAAGAACTGAGGATTCCCTTGGCCAGACAAATATAGGTTAAGTGTTACTACTTTTTAAAAAACATTCTATTTCTACTTTTTGTACTTCTTGAATACTATGTAAACTCTTATTTCCTTAAATTAATGTAGTGGATTCTCATCTCCTTTTGACTCCCTTAAACTGCTTAAAACCCTCCAGGAACTTCTAGGCCTGGTGCAGATGTGATGCCACAGATGAATGCAGAAAGTGTATGGCATCACAATTATGTGTATTCTACATATATCTTGTCCAAAATATATCATGTCCATAAATATAGAAAATTGATAACAATGTTAGTCATTATGCCTGGATTGGGACAGGGATATTTTATGAAAAATCACTGAAGCTTTATATTATAAACTTCACAACAAAACCTTTTTAAAGTGTAAATCTTACCATTATATAATACTGATTTGTTACAATTGTTTCCTGCCCTTCTTCCAATGAGATCAGCACAGCACACATGTCATTTCTATTATTCTAAGGACATTGTAAGCACAACATACAATTCACTAGCAGGATTTCACTGGTTAATAAACAGGCTTACTAAAAGGGCAAGATTATTTAGGTTGCTACTACTGCCTGTTTAACTTTTATATGTTCATATTATTATTTTATACTATTCTAATGATTGTTGAATGTTACTTTTTTGATGGAGGTTGCCTATTTTAAAGTTCTGTTTTATTAGAACATTTTTGTATTGCATTAGATTGTTATAAGATGTACATTTTTTGTTTCTTCAGCTTGTAAACTGCCTTGAGTATGATGCCTGGTGCCTGGTATGACACTGGAAAGATTCAACCAACCAACCAAGTGAACTATGGCAAAGATACCAGAAGGTTTAGAATGCAAAAGTGACAAAGAAGCGTTGAAAAATAATGTCCTTGTCAGGAAAGGCACCTAGACTCAAATTTAAATATGTACAAAGCTAGCTAGTACATATAATGAAAGCCACTTGGCAGCAGCCTCTTAAGATTAGGAGAAGTCTGTAAACTGAAGGTGAACATCAAGATGTTGTCTTTAAAGAAACAGTCATTCTTTGGCAGTGGAAAGTATTTCCACCAAAGACTGTACCTAGATATCATCTCATGCAATGGCACCACACATTTTTAAGATGCTTCAGGTGAACACACAGAGAAAGCATCAAATAAAATTTATGTATTCTCTCTCCCATCTATATCTACACACACACACAATCATATCACTCATCCTTCCAAATACAGAAAAGAAGAGCAAATGAAGTCTTTGGACAGGCTCAAAAATACCCAGATTGTCACCCAACACATCCAAAACACAGGTGAATTGGGTACATGAGCCCTGCTGCACTTAAAAGCTCAACCCAACCTCTTCCAGGGTCCAAGCAGATACAGCCTATTGTCTGGGTCAATTTTTTTCCACTCCAACCGTTGCAACAGGTCAGGTCCCAAAGCATGAATGCAGCCATTCCACCACACCTCTTTGATAAGACATTCCCTGAGCACCTGAGTACACACTATCCAACAGCTTGTTTATCAATTATTAAGATTGTTTTTGCCATAAAGCGGCCTACTTCAGTGCAGGAAGACAGAACCGATAGCCCTGAAAGGCACATACAGATCTTACACCATGTTTTGGTAAATCTCGCCATCAGCGCAAGCAACATGTACTGATACCCCCACACGCCACACTGTTCTGGGGCTTCTCCTGACCCTAGAGCCAATTTCAGGGGGTTCCAGGTCACAGGGAAACGGAAGGGAAAGTCCTATTGCACAAATGGAAGCTCTCAAGCAGGGTTTGAACTGACAGGACTTGTTTGGTGAATCCCACCCTGAGTGAGTCCCATGCAGAATCATTAGTGGGATGACCACAAGGTTGAAGTTTCAACTAAAAGTACATAATTTTTAAGAGCTGGGAAGGGCTAGATGGACCATAGACGCTATAGATGTGATTCCTGCATTACCTGGGGTTGGACTAGATGTCCCTCTAAGTCTCTTCAAACTCTACAATTCTATTATTCTAATAGATTCTATATACAGGTGACTATAGAACTGTAGAGACGGAAGTGACAACAAGGGTTGTGGAGCCCACTCCCTTGCAGTGCAGAAATCTCAACTAAAGCATCCATGACAGATGGCCACCCAAACTCTGCTTAAAAACCTCCAAGGAAGGAGAGATTTCTCCAATGAAGGAGAAAACCATCAAATAAGGATTCCCTCAACAGAAATACTGGAAACTGTAGTTCTGCAAGAGGTCTATGGGTGTCTAATATAGAAATCCTAGCAACCTAATAAAACAATTCACCCCTGGCAAAGATTATGCTACTTTAAAGCTATCTGAGTTAGTAGCATACAGGTGCCCTATTTCTCATGACAATAAGCTAGAATAGCTAGAATATATTCTCAGGACAACATCTGTATCACTCAGTTGCAGACACAGCAGGCAGGCAGGCCACTGGGCAGAGGTATGCGCTTTAAAACTGCACCAATTACTTGTGGCAGCGTCACAGAGAAAGTTCAGACTCACCTGCTGGGGTACTTGTACACTTGTGAGCTGTAGAGGTGATACCGTTCCAGGCTTCGTCTGCACACTAGCTTGGACCAATAACCTCTGCCAAAACAAAAACAAACTAGCCAAGGATCAAGGCAAACAAAGGCAATTCACAGGAAACATTTTATCTGCTGCCAGTTTCACCTGCATTCCCCCTCAAAGATAGCAAGGCTCACTGTAAAGTCCACAAAGCACTGATATTTGCATTTAGCACAGGGGGATAATGATCCTGGCTGGGTGAAGAACCTTTGCTATTGGTTTCTCATACACAATTTCAGGAAAAGAATATAGGAGCTCTTACTTCCAAACCTCCCACCCTACCTACATGACCGTGTCCGTCTTTTGCTAAAGACTTTGCACCCCTCTTCCAAACGATATAACTGAGAACAAAACACAGAATTGCCTACTTCTCTGATCCACAAAACAAACCCACTTGTTCTGGTTTCCAGGACCCTTCCCCTGCTCTTACAAACAATATCCCATTCTATAGTTATGGAACCCAAGAACTTTATTCACAGCACTCCTCACCTTTTATTCTAACACCACTAATTCAGAGGTATCTGGACTTTTAAAATGTCAAAGTAGTCCTGATTAAGAGAGTGGCCCCATTTGCTTCATTACAGGGTGGCCATTGTTGAACTAACCACAGAAACCATGGCTGAGCTACATACCTGCTGAGTAGCCTGGACTTGCTGGACCACCTGAGTTGGCACCCCTGACTGTGTGGCTGTGGAGCCTGGACTGGACTCTGAAACTGTGTCACTGGGCCTCATGGAGCTTTCTGTAGAGAGGCAGATGAGAAGAGTTAATAGCACAAGCCCCAACTCTCCAGCCATCTATTTAAAATCTCAACAGCAAAGTAGGTGATGCGTAAGACTAGGCTCAGAACCCTCTAGCTCAACATTGGGAGTTCAGGTGTCCATTGCCCTAGTTTATAATATGATTCAGTGAAAACTGGAAGGCCAAGAGTAATGATTCCTGTGTCTAACTGCTAGCTCTGTGGAGTGTTCACACAATACATTCTGCCACCCGACATAGTATAGCACACAATGAAAGGACTTTGCCCCAGCATCTCTTGCAACATTGCAGGGAATCTTGGGCCACATTTTACAGATTGCACCTAAATTATCACCCCCATAAACTTTGATGCCCCAAGCAACTACTTGAGATGATGGCCTGTGTTTTGGAGGGGAAGAAATTCTGACCAGAACTACATTTCAATGAATTTTGACCTATCCAGAACTTTCACTATCCAGACCCCAACCTCAGATAGTAAAAGGAATTGTATGTGGTAGTTAAACATATAAAAGGCTGACCTCCCTGAAGCAGGAATAGACAAGAAAATATCTCCCTAGAATATTTCCAAATTACTGTTATTCGTTGCAATAAGCATGCAGCTGTTACTTGTTTGTGGAGAAGGTTCCATAGGTATTTCCTCAAGGCAGTGATTGCCAAGGGGGTATCTCATTTTCTCAGCACTCAGTCTGCAATTTCTGGTCACTACAATCCTAACATGTGTAGCACGGAGTTAAGTACCCTTGAGACCAATGGGGGTTCTTCCCAAGTAAACTGTGCATAGGACTACCGCCTGAGAAAATGCTATTTGCACGCAGTCACAAACACAACACTCTCTTATCACATTCATTGTGAATTAATGCTGTGTGGAACAGGCTTGTGTGTTACAGCCACCTAATGGATACTGCCTGCAACATAACTAGTAATAAGCAGCACAACCCCTCTCCACCACTCCTGCCATTTTATGAATTTTAAAATGCTTTGCCAACTTTAGAGTCTGAATGAACTCTCTCACCCTGTCAGAATAGCAACAACAACAAAAATAAATACACCAAAAAGGCTACCCAATCCTGCCACAGCAACATTTCACTATTTTATAAACTCCTAAAATAAAAACAACGAAACTCTGACAACCATGTGCTCCTATTCCCATGACTGGTACATGGATATTCTGATTTTTTAGATGTGGCAAACAGCTGTATGTCTCTCTCCTGCAGAAAGGCTATCTCCACTATATAAACCCACTCTCAATTATGTCAATATAGGATACTGTGTCCCTGGCACTTAATCCAAACCTGATGAAGTTATCGTGCTATAATAAATAATTCCAGTGCTTCTCATTTTCTAGATCTCACCCCTCCCCTATTTTTCACAAATTGGCAAAGGAAGCAGGTACATCTATTTCCCAAAAGCAAGGACTGACCACTTGAGGCAAGCAGTAGTTGTGATAACTAGGAAGCTTCCAGTGCCAAGTGCAGAATTATGAACTCTTGGTGCTCAGGAGTTGGTTTTAACAATGCCCTGTTTGAATAGTTTGCTTCTTTTTTGCTGTAATTCCAGTGACCACAATGGATTTGCAAAAAAAGCAGAGAATGTGATTTAGAAAAGCTCTGACCTTTGTCACAACTGGGCTGATCCTAAGCAGAAATCCCTTCCCAAGTACTTACGGTCAAAAGGCATTGCATAAAGGCAATCATAATACATGGTGAGGCTGTAAAAAGGGTTTCAGTTCTAGTTGTTCCTTTCCTTGAGAATAAAACAGACAAGGCTTTTATAAACTGTAACCTTGGCCAGATAATCCCTGCTAGTTCCTACCAAAGCTCCAGACAGGTTGGTTTCAAATAAACATTCGCATTGTAGTAGGTACACCCTCTGTTCTTCTCAGGATGGGGTGGCGGATGCCGGCTGTTCACCTGATTGTAATCACGAAGCAGGAGTTCACGTTTCACGAGTGTCTCATTTAACATGCACAGCGGGAGGGAGAAAAAGGGCAGGTGAAGTCACTCTGGGCCACCTGCAATAGGCTTGTGCATTTATGTCCTTAGAAAAACTAGCATCATAAGTAGGGTTTCAAAACCGTTCTGTTTAAAAGCTTCAGCTCTTTTAACATGAAGAATGATCAGCAACTACATAACCAATATGACTATGCACATGTCTGAACTGAGGAGTGCAAAGCCATATGGCAGACATCTCAACGATGTGAGAGTGTTCCATCTACAAAATAGCTGGAAGAGATCTATTCAGTTAATGACAAGGCGCTTGCAGATGCTCCAAGTGTCCCTATTTTCCAGGGACGTCCCTGACTTAGAGAAGCCGTCCTGGTTTCTGATTTGATCCTGGAATGTCCCACTTTTCCTTAGGATGTCCCTATTTTCATTTGTGAAATGTTGGAAAGTATGGTAGGATGTCCCTATTTTGATTGGAGAAATGTTGGAGGGAACAGAGTTATCTGACCCCAGAACCGTCTGCAGGTAACCCTATTTAAGTAAGTTTTTTTAATGTTTAATGTTTTATTATGCTTTTATACATGTTGGAAGCTGCCCAGAGCAGCTGGGACAACCCAGTAAGATGTGGGGGGGTCCAAATAGTAAAATTATCAATATGGAATGGGACATCCCTATTTTCATAAGAGAAATGTTGGAGGGTATCCGCTTGTACCTCCCAACATTCACAGAGCTACCTTCGGTTCTGGAACTCTAAAAATCCTACTTTAATCAGGATATTCTGCTGTGGCTGACAAAAGAGGGCCTGGTGTTCTAGGCTAGAGGGTCAACAGACTGTCATAATGAGCCTTCGTTGAAAAGATAGCTAAAGAAAATGCAGGCAAGTTATCTGAAAGTAGTTGCTCTTTTCTGGGGAATGAGAGCATATAAGATCAAGGCAAATAGGAAGAAGCAGGACTAGAAAAAGGGGGACTGAAAAAGAGCCCGACAAAAATAAAAGTTAAAAGGGTTGGACCTGTGATAAGAAGAATTTAGCTTGCAGTGATTGGGCTTTACACTGTACAAGACCTGAACCACTGCCAGATGGGAGCATTTTTGAATAGGCCCTTTGCCTGGAATGAACAAGCATTCTGTTCAATGCCCCAGTGACACAATTTCTAGATTTGCCAACTCTGACACGCTAATCAAGGAAAAATGGACAGGCTTTGATCCCTGGAAGGCAGAACCTTTCCACAGCTGCCCCTCCTCTTACTACTGCTCTTACCTCAAGGCCCAAAGATAAGCAAACTTTCATTCAATCTTTCTTTTCCCCTTGCTAATTTCAGGACATTTTGGTACTAGAACTATTTTTACCAGAGTATTAAAGGAGTATACTTCCAATTACAACAGGGTTTATGATCCCATGGGAGCTCAGCAGAGGAACAAGGGCATGTATTTGCACAAGCGTGTGTCTGCATGCACACAAACACATATGAACAGCCTTAACTCCTTTTGGAAACAAGTCACAGGAACAAAGTCCACTGGAATTAACGCTGATCCTGGTAACTTTGCATGGCCGGTATTCTTATTCCCATATTGCAGAATGGGCAGGTGAGAGAGTTGCTTGCCTAAGGCAACCGTGGTTTGCTGACAACCATGGTTGCTGACATTGTCATTTTGTTAAAAGAGAAAGATTATCAAGCATCTCTGTGTTCTTTTCACTATATTTTCTGGAAGCTTGTTGCCTGCCTTAATTTTCCATTTTTCTTTCTAGGCTAATGTGTACTGTTGCTCTGGTTTGTCTCCGTCCTTAGTTGAAACATCATCTTAATACTGTGACCAGATGCGGACTCCATAGCTTCAACATAAGACTTTTGTTTGTTTGTTCTTCACTTTCCATGATTTTGTTTAGCATCTAGCCCAATGAAGAGCTTGAGAACTCAAAAGCTTTCACACTATTTGGGGATATATTTTATCAGTCAAATAAGGGTATTGCCTTGATATGGATTTTGGAATATCACCGCTAGCCATCATTTAATGAGGTACACACTTTGGCAACTCAGCTGAAGGACATAATTTAACTAGGATTTGAAAAACCTGAAAAACAATAATGGCAAGATTATCCAGAAAAAATCTTTGAGCAAAGTCCTCAGCTGCTATAAAACTGTTCAGTTCGACTTCACTGAAATGAAGCAGGACTGGCTATACAGTATACAGTGGTGCCTCGCAAGACGAAATTAATTCGTTCCGCAAGTTTTTTCTTCTTGCGAGTTTTTCGTCTTGCGAAGCACGGTTTCCCATAGGAATGCATTGAAAATCAATCAATGCGTTCCTATGGAAACCGCCTTCAGACCAGGTCCGGGGACAGTCTGTCCCCCGACCTCTTCTGAAGGCTGGGGGGGGGGGCAAGGGCTTTTCTTCCCACCGCCAGCCTTCAGAAGGCTGTTCTGAAGGCTGGCGGTGGGAAGAAAAGCCCTTCTCCCCACCTCCCGCCCCGCAAGCTCCAGGGACAGGAGGGCTTTGCTGCCGCCCGCCAGCATTTTAAAAGCCCCCGGGACAGCGGAGACTTCTCCACTGTCCTGGGGCGATTTTAAAATGCTGGTGGGCGGCAGCGAAGCCTCCGCTGTCCTGGGGCAATTTTAAAATGCTGGCGGGCGGCAGCGAAGGCTTCGCTGCCGCCTGCCAGCATTTTAAGATCGCCCGGGACAGCGGAGAAGTCTGATCGCCCGGGACAGCGGAGAAGATCGCCCGGGACAGCATTTTAAGATTGCCCGGGAAGGCAGGCGGGGGGGGGAGCAAAGACTTTTGCCCCCCGCCGGCCTTCAGAAGAGGTCCAGGACCTCTTCTGAAGGCCGGCGGTGGGCGAAAGTCTTTGCTCCCGACGGCCAGCATTTTAAAAGCGGTCCGGGATAGCGGGAAAGCGCAGCGCAATTCCCTGCTATCCCGGACCGCTTTTAAAATGCTGGCGGTGGGGAGCAAAGCCTTTCGGCCCCCGCCGGCCTTCCTGGACCTCTTCTGAAGGCCGGAGGGGGGCGAAAGGCTTTGCTCCCCACCGCCAGCATTTAAAAGAGGTCCCCGGAGATTTCCCTATGGGCATTCTTCTTGCGAAGCAAGCCCATAGGGAAATTTGTCTTGCGGAACGACTCAAAAACGGAAAACTCTTTCGTCTTGCAAGTTTTTCGTTTTGCGAGGCGTTCGTCTTGCGAGGCACCACTGTATCTCCAGCACCAACCCAAAGAGAAACCTGCTATGACCACAGATGCCACTCTGCCAGCTCGCTCAAATGCGCTCTGCGTTGTTTGACAAAGGAGGGGGCACAAGGTAATGTGAGTTTTCTGAACATCCAAATAAAACTCTCACTGGCAGCGGAATGTCTACTCAAAAGCAAACTGAATTCATTGGGGCTTATTCCCAAATGAGCAGGGTTATGATTGCAGCCTGAGAAAAAGTTTCAAAAACAATTTAGCAGAATACATGAAGCAGGAGAGTTGGACTTCATCTAGAGTGAATTTGAACACTACCTTCCTAGCCATCTTTATTTCTGTTTTTCAGTGCACTTGTTTTTCAGTGTAGCTGAAAATTAGTGGCTTTCTTCCATTTGCTGAATGAACAGGTCAGTGTAACTCGAAACCCTGCATATCCCTACATCAGCAGAAGGTATCACCTTACTCTTTTGTGATCTCTGATTTTGTCCAAAGCACGTGTTGTAACAGCAGTGGAGTAAAAGAATAATAAGAATAATAATTCTGACAATGCGACTTTAATATTAATGGATTGATTTTTAAAAGCTGATAAATTCAGACAATGTAACTTGCCAACAAGTAAATATAAATTGAGAGAGGTTGTGTTTTCTGTTTTCTAAACAAGCACAAGCATATAATTTGCCCAGTGGTCACTTATGTAATACAAAGCAAGAAAGAAGGCGATTAATAGTGGTGCCTGAAAATAAAGATTTAAAAAACCCAGAGATCTGTTCGAGACTCAGTTTCTCAAATAAGAGGAAAGGAAGAAGCTGTCTTGTGCCAGGTGAAATCCAGTACTGTCACTACTTCATGAATCTCCAGGATTTCAAGTAGTGGACTTCCCCCATCACCTGCTACTTGATTATTTTAACTGGAGCTGCCAGGGATTGAACCTGGGGGCTTCCCTCTGAAAAGCATGTATTCTATCAATGAGCTTTGGCCCTCCCCCATGAGGCAAGGTCAAATATTATTCCACTCCACTGCTGAAACATATGAAGCTGCTTTAAATTGCAATAGGCCATTGTTCCGCTTAGCTCAGCTTTGGCTCAACTGACTAGGAATGACTGTCTCTGTGACTGTCTACAGTGGTACCTCGCAAGACGAATGCCTCGCAAGACAAAAAACTCGCTAGACGAAAGGGTTTTTTGAGCTGCTTCGCAAGTCGATTTTCCCTATGGGCTTGCTTGGCAAGACGGAAACGTCTTGCAAGTTTGTTTCCTTTTTCTTAACACCGTTAATACAGTTGTGACTTGACTTCGAGGAGCAACTCATAGAATGCGGTGTGGTAGCCTTTTTTGAGGTTTTTAAAGACTTTGGTGATTTTTGAAGCTTTTCCAAAACTTTCCCGACACCGTGCTTCGCAAGACGAAAAAAATCACAAGGCGACAAAACTCGCGGAACGAATTAATTTCGTCTTGCGAGGCACCACTGTATATGCAGAGCCTCTCCTGTCCATTTACCTCCTCGCCTTCTTGTCCAGTTTTGACACAGTGTATGAAAAGAGCTATACACTTAAGCAGAAACAGAAGGGATAGCAGCTGAAGCAGGGAGGAAAATGTAGAAATGTGAAACAGGCAAAATGCAACCAATATCAAACATTTTCTGAACTCACAAAAATACCCCCCTTCCCTTATCTATATGCTGTTCATGCTTAGAGGCACTTTCCTTCAATACTCCTTCACTTCTTCTAAGATTAGACCCTGATACTGAAAACAGGTTCCGAGTCTGGATCCTGGTGAGAATGTACTTTTTTTAAAGGATCACATGAACCTTCACATGAAAAATCCAGCAGTTTCCAGCTCTACTGACTGAAAAGAGTAAGAACTAAGCTGAAGGAAAGACTAGAACTGGGAGAAAACACCAAATCCAACAGACATTCAATATTTCAACAGGACTCAATAGTGTGAAGTTGAATTCTGCCGGTTTTTTCAGTTGCTTTCTATACATATGTAAATCTACACACTCTGGAAAAAACTCAACCACAAGGCAAATCAAACAACTTCACTCTGCAGCTTAGGAGCTACCTGATTAGAATCAGAAGCAGTCCAGGTTTCTTTGGATCATATTTCAGGCCAGCTGAAGTGCTGCATTACACTACGAAAGACAGCAGGAATTCTATCTGGCTGTTTGCCTTGCCTTCTTAAGATACGGAGAAGGCTCCACCAGGAAGCAAG